CGAGGTAGTGATCATTTCTCCATATCTATTGATTTTTCCAACATTTTAGTTCCTTCCCTACCCCTCCCCTACCAAAATATAAAATAGATTTAGCCAATTGGGATGCATATAGATCTGTGTGCGAACAAACAGCGTTGGATTAGAAGTCCGGTTGACTAAACCACCAAGTTGCACAAATAAGAAAAGGGATTAGGTCCGCAGCCAACTGCAGTATTCCATAAACCAAACGGGTTGTGCGCAAGGCTGCAGTTCCGTGGTGGAATTACAACCTTCAGAGGCTTCGAAATGAAAAGCAACAGCTGTTCGCAGTTTATAAAGCCAGAATGTCCGACACCAACTTGACACAAAATTATAAAAGAGCCAATGCAGTTTTTAAAAAATCTGTAAAAAATCTGTGTTGCCAAAAGGACTTGTCTTGAAAATTTCACCTCCAGGGTATCCCCTTTGTCGTCCTCCAAAAAAGTTTGTTCCGACGTAAAGAAGCTGGCCGGCGTAACACCACAGCCGTTTCGATTTCTGAAGTGCGATTCAGGTGTCTTAACAGGTTCTGAGGATATCGCAGAAGAGCTCGGGCATCTTTGGTCAAACTATTCTGCTGACAGTAACTTTTCAGCCGAATACAGCAGACTAGATATCCTACCCAATGCTTAAAGAAATGCCACTCTTCCTTAAAACCAGGCTTTTAGGAATATTCAATCAAATTTTTAACTCCGGAAAATACCCACACAGTTGGAGATCAGCCACTGTCATCCCAATTCCCAAGCCAAATAAACCTCCGGCCGAAACCAACAGTTACCGCCCCATCTTCCTCCTATCATGTTTAGGAAAAACTATAGAAAAAATGATTGCTCGCAGAACCAAGTTTAAACAAAAGCATAACACTATGGACGCCTTGTTGCGTATTCAACACTTCGCGTCGAACGCTCTTTCCACGAAAAATCACGTCTCTATATTAGCGACTGATTTTGAAAGAGCCTTCGATCGCGTGGGGATTCATGCCGTACTTAGTCAGCTTGAGCGCTGGGGTGTTGGTCCAAGACTTTATACCCTTATAAAGGCCTTCATGACCAATCGTTCTTTCAGAGTTCGCGTTAACAACGACACCTCCAACACCCACAGTCTCTATAACGGCGTACCGGAAGGCTCCCCCCTTTCAGTAGTTCTTTTTATTATCGCTTTTGATAAACTAAATTGTATTTTAAGTAGACATAAGGACATTCAACTCTCAATATACGCAGACGACGCTATTATTTTTTCCAAATTAAAAATTGTAAATATTGTGAAAGATAAATTTGTAGATGTATTAAGTGAAGTAGATTCCTGGGGAGCCATTTCGGGTGCGTCCCTAGCCATTGAAAAATGTAAATTACTCCATATTTGCCGCAAACACAGATGCACTCTCTCCCATATTAACTTCAAAAACAAAAGAATAGAAAATGTTAAAAGTTGAACAGTTTTGGGCTTAACCTTCGATACCAAACTCCTATTTGATCAGCATTGTATTAAACTAAGAAAACAACTCGAGTCCAGATTTAACATTGTAACGCTAATAGGAATTACGTGTCCCCTGATGCTCTCCAAAATAGATTACGGCCTACCAGTTTACGGATGGTGTGCAAAATCACACTTAAACAAGTAGCAGGCTCCATACCATGGTGCAATCCGACGTCCTATAAACGCTTTTCCTACCTCACCCACCGCATGCATTTTGGCTGAGTCGGGCCTACCGAGCATACAGGCTCTCAGAGAAGAAGTGACCTTGCAGCTCATTTTCAAAATGCATTTGACAAAAAATGCTCTACTAAGGAAGGATTTCTCAGCCATGTTCAAGCAAAAACGGAATTACAAAGTCATATCAACGCTTAGGCGGTGTGCCAACTTCACAACGCAGCTTGGCCTTCCCCCGCCCAATCATAGGAATACTGCTAAGCTACCAGCCTATTGGAACAGCACAAAACCTAATCTGATCCTTGATATGTACAACGGCTCAAAAAATAACACCACCAGAGCTGAATTCCAGACCCGCTTTCGATGCTTACAAGAAAAACTCGGCACAAAATCTTGGCTCTACACCGATGGATCAAAAACAGACGACGACACAACCTTTGCTGTTGTTGACAGCATTGGCAAAATAATCTCGGGGGGAATGCTACCCTCTAACAACTCCATCTTTACTGCGGAAACCATCGCAATATTACAGGCCTGTCTCTTTGCCACCAAACACTCGGGACACTTTGTAATCTGTACCGATAGCCTTTCCACCTTATCTTCTTTACGGAATTGTGGTCAAACCGATCCCACAATCGTGGAGATAAGATGGCTTTCTTCTTTTAATAATATAACCCTTTTATGGACGCCCAGCCACCAAGGTATCCATGGCAACGAACAAGCAGACCAGGCCGCACAGGACATGCGGCTAAAACCATATTTTCTTTTTACTCCTTTCAACAACAAGGACTTAAGAAATCGAATCCGTCTCCACCTTAAGGAAACACAAATCAGAGAATGGGACCTATATGACCACCGATATTCTTCCTTCAACAACACCTTCACAAAAATTTCTCTGCCTGCGCACCTTGGAAAGCGGGTATGTTCAACATTCATCCGCCTTCCTATCGGGCACACCCGTGCAACACACGAACTTATCTTTACTGGAACACCACGTCCCGTCTGCCGTTGCGGCAAACACCTCGAAATTGACCATCTACTCAACTCATGCCGTCTTCTGGAGAGCGTCAGGGCCCTCGTTTTCGGCCAAAAAAAACCTTCCGATATTTTAATTATAATTTCACAAGAAACCATTATGAACTTTTACCACTTTGTCATTAGAACCAACATAAATATTTAAGTATCTTTAATTTAATAATTATAATCTCGAGTCGTAGGCCCTAGCAGCTAGTTCTCTTTAAGAAATGCACTAGATTTAGTATTGTATACTAGATTTAATTTTGCTAAATAAATAAATAAAATGATAATATTTTCTAATGTTTCTATGATCTTACTGGTACTTCCGCGGTACTCGGTGTTTCCAAGATGTTGTATCAAAGTTTCATAGGGGCGGTGATCCTTAAATGATGTGGATAGTGCTTCCTTCATAGATGGCCAGTTGCTTGGTCCAGCTTGTGCCACTGTTTCCTGTGCTGAGTCCACTACCAGTCTTCTGATTGCTCTGAATATGACGTGGGCTTGTCTCGCGTCTTGAGTTGCGTAAAATTGTAACAAAAAACTCCACTTGATTGATGAACTCGGATAATCTGCCTGCAGTCCCATCAAAATATTGTAGCTCCCTCAGTTGACTTAACAACTTCAGATGAATCTCTGGTAATAATTGTGGTGAAGTCATCTTTTATGTTGGTTTTTATTATTATTTGTTTTTTTTTCAAAGTTTTTTTAGTTTTTCTATTTTTTTTAATGTGTTTATTTTACAAAAATGGGTTTTGGTTCTTTATAAATTTTATTTTATTAATGTTGAATTGCTTTGAAAAGTTTTATAAAAGTGTAAATGTCTTTCGTTTGTTTTATTTGTAAAATTTCATTCACTTGCAAGATTTTGTTAAATGTCTTCGCTGTTTCACTTGTAGAGTTTTGGAATATCTTTGCTGGGTATTTTTATTTTGCTTTTAAAATTAATTAAAAAATTAATTTTATTTTATTAAACCGAATTGTTACAAGATTTTTTATAATGAAGTACACCGACCCGAATAGTTTCGTGTCTCAAACTGAACTCCGAGTTAAACTGTTCTTCAACGTGAACTGTAAAAAACTGATTTGATTTTAAGTTTTAATTTATGATGAAGCCTCGATTTGGGCCTTTACAATTCTTATGTTCTCTGAGAGAACTTTCTTAAAGCTAAGCTTGATTCTCTTGTATTCAAGTTCAATTCTCTTTCTAAATGTCCGTAACAGGACTCCTACTCTGGCCTTGATCGGCTGTGGAAAATTTCGGTATTAATGTTTAGTCTTAGAGTCTGCTAATAGGACTTTGTCCGCCTGTCCGTATGAACGCTGAGATCTTAGGAACTTTAAGAGATACAGAAATGAGATGAGAAATTTGGAATTGGGCATGTTGTTTCCAATGTCGCCCAAATGCGTATTACTTTTACACCGAAAATCAAAAACAGATATCTATACAATGTCTGGAATATTTTCACATAGCTTTAAATTTGAGCGTCTGTCGATTTGTGAAAAATATAAATTAATTTTCACTTAACTAAAAAGATTCTTGAATGCACGGCATTTCTTACTTAAAACCCAAGAGTGTGGGCCTTGGTTTTATTGAATGTCTGAAGATGATTATTACAAGATAATTATAAATATATCAACCAAGCTTAAAATCCAAAAAACTGCTGACAAATCTAGTCAGCCCAACTCCAAGTCGCTACCAATTCCAACTCGGGACGTGGAACCAAATGGCTAATTGTCGAGTTTTAAGAAGGATATTGTGAACTGGGCACACAATCAAGATACGAGATGCTCGGTCGAGGAAGCACTGCACTCACTGCTCCATTTTGTAGGAACACAAATCCAACATGATCGAAGAAATCCAGTACTTGATCAACAGGGTGACTCTGCTCTTCATCCTACGCAGCATCGCATGGCTGATGAGAAATCTGTGAAGCAAAAAGAATCCGCCGCCACTTTTCTATAAAGTGAAGCGATTTCGGCCGGTTCTGTTGATATTTCTGTTAAGCCACGACGCCCAGGTGCTAGCCGACGTGTGCTGCATACTTCACATCTTCGACGGCCACCACAGCATGATCCAGTCACTGATCGACTCAGCGCAGCGTCAGTATCATTGAGGCCTCCTCAGATGAACAGAGTGACGTTGTCAACGCCTCACTAGCATTGCCCTGGCTAAGGCTTCTTTTACAGAAGAGCATAGTCAACATTGATAAGGGTTCCGGTAGGGTGATAAACACCATTTCGACAGGTACCCAACACCAGATTCAAGCGCTCATTCAGGTCGAGGTATTTCATAAATTTTGCGAATTTCTGGAGAAAGGAAACTTGGAGGACCTTGACATCGGGCACCCCGAACAGATAATTCATCAACTAATTTAGAAGTTCATGATTTTGGAGCCGCACTTAAATCTGTTCATTGCAAATGACTAAGGTCTTCCCGATGGATATTCTTTATCGGGTTGTCCAATCTCTCCGTTCAGTCGGAAAGCCTAAATGCACCTGTAGTCGTAGGGTGGGCGGCTTAGGCAAACTGGAATCTATACAGATGCAGGATAACATTTCTTCTTGATAAGACCATCTTATATAATTACCTTAGAATTCCAGAAGGTGCTTCCGAGTTCAATTTCAGGTAGTTAAAGGCTCCCGAAGGTGGCTACAAATTCAAGAATAATTACTTACAAAACTTACACTTATAAGCTTCACATGGGTATTATTGATTATTGGTTAATAAGGTCGATCAGGTGATTTGAATTATGTTAATGCAACCTTTATAGAATGTAAAAGCTCGTGAGTTAAGCTAATAAATAAAATGTAGTAAACAAAAACTTACCCATCTCCTCGTCTTGTTCCCTGAAGTCTTACTTTTGGCAGTTTTAAATTTTCCTTGTGCTGGAGGCACCACAACTTCTGGCTGAGGGGCGCCGGACTTTCCCGTACTGAGTGCACGGGCATGACTGCCTTTGTCTTGAAGCAAGTAGCTGGGCAAGAGTAGGTAGTGATTGCTGTAAAACAGATATTTCAGGTGAAAGAATGGTTAGAATAAGAGATTCTGCATTAATTTTAAGCCCGCTTCTAGTAAAGCTAAGGGGTATATTGATTTCGCTACCTTTCTCTTATAGGGTAATCTCATCGATCATTATAAGATAACTACAAAAGCTAGAATATGGGCTAAAGCATGAAGATTCTATACATATATACCAGCGCACCTCGCAAGCGCGATTCTTCAATTTTCTAGTGTTTGTGTCCTGATATGAGAATGAACTAAGTTTACTCATTTTATTGGCCGTATTTAAAGGCTCAAGCGACTCCAGTCCGAATATATGGTAATAAAGTTATGGTAGCAGACAAATTTATAACTCCGACATAAGTTCAATAGTCTAGCCACAGTAGGGAGCCTTGAACAGGCTGAAATTAAGCCCGGGAACACCGTCAGAAATGCTAAAGTAATCTTTATTACTCACCACGCATACATTTCCGGTGCCTGTACGCTTCTCGCGAGGCGAACAGATTGGTCCAACCGGTCAGGGCCATCGCGATGTGACCTGAGCCATATACAACTTCAAAATCAGTTGAGCAATGATCTGTTTGGGGGTGCGGAAGGGCAAGGTGCTTGTCATTCTCCAGCGGACTTGGGCCTCCAAGTCTTCTTTCTCCAGAAATTCGAGCAATTGATGAAATACCTCGACCTGAATGAGCGCTTGAATCTGGTGTTGGGTATCTGCCGAAATTGTGTTCACCCTACGGGAACCATTTTCAATGTTGACTGGCTGTGCTGTACCAGAAGTCTTAGCCAGGGCAATGTTTGGAAGGCAATTACAACGTCAGTCTGTTCATCTAAGGCGGCCGCAATTATACCGGCGCTGCGCAAAGTCGATCAGTGACTGGAACATCCTGAGGTCTTCCCCGAAGATGTAAAGTGTGCAGCAGACGTCGGTCAGCACCTCGGTGTCTGGGTTTAACAGAAGTGGCAAGAGCAGCAGAAGACGCTTAACCTAATTGAAGAGTGGCGGCGGATTCTTTTTGCTGCATAGATTACTGATCAGCCATTCGATGCTGAGTAAGGAGGAGATCGGAGTCACCCTGTTGATCAAGTATCGGACTTCATCGATCCCGTTTGATTTGTGCTGTTCTGCACGAAGCGCATGAAGATGGGCCCAATGGCTGCACTGCTTCCTCAAATGACCGTCTTGTGGGCAGGTTGTGTCCCCAGAAGCCACTTTATCGTTCACGGACATCGACAATTGGCCTTTCAGTTCGACATCGCGAGTTGGAATGGTAACGACTTCGAATTTGTCTAGCAAGTTTGTTAATATTTTAGATGCTTACGCTTCGTTGATGTAATTATAACTAACTTTTACATTGTTCTGTTGGTATTCAAACTTTCACTATAGCCAAGGCCTACTCTTTTAAATTGTAAATAACGAAAGTGAAAATAAAGTAAAGTGAAATTTGGTTGCGACTTGCATCCTCGGAGTCTTCCTTTCTGAATGGCACATTTTACCCTTTCTTCTTCTTATATTTTTCTGACGAGTAATTCAGCTACGCAATTTGTCAGGTTCACTATTGACATCGCATTCACTCTCACTCACTAAGCAACTCAAGGGACCACGTACACTGATAGATAGCTTTGTCTCCCTCACTCTGGACATCTCGTTACACAACTCGAGAAAGAGAGAACCGAACTAAGAAGCAGAGCAACCAACTAGAAACGCGGGCGGCCCAACGGCCGTTAATTTCAAATAAAATCTAATAATCAGAAGGGGTGCGCGGGAATATTTCGTATGTCCGTATATCTGTTCGTATAAACTTTAGAAGGATGCTTATACGATAAGTTTAATTTTGTTTTTTCTCACCGAATGTAAGCCTTCGCGATGCTGTTCGGAAACAAATGCTTGACCCTTATTAAAGAAGAACCCCGCGAGTGTCGGGAAGTTCTTAACTTATTATCAGACGATAAGAACTGTTAACTGTGCTAGCAAAAGTCACCATTACAGTGAAAAACCCCATTGATGTAACATTAGGGGCAGAATTAAAGCCTAAGCCACCTGTAAGTCTCGACACCAACATGACAGCTCCCTCTACTCTACTATGGCAAGTCCTCAGCAGCAAAATTTGACCAATTGATCTACCAACCTTAACCAAAGGATCATCTGCACGAAGCGGAAATTACTTTAGGCGTCCCTCTCCTCATGCCGTTCTTCTTCATAAACCTTCTCGAATGATATTATTTTTCGCCGTTCTATATAGTCTTATCCTATCTACTTACTCATTTAACACATGAAAATAAGAAAAAAGAAAAGAGGTATCGGAATCAATGTTTTTCAAACTACACACACAAAGATGTAAAGAAAATTAAAAACTTATTCGACAGAGCTTAGAACCTCTTCTCGAAATATCTCTTTAAGGGAATACAGATGCGTAGTTGAGAAAACTCTGCTGATCAGCAGTAGGCTTTAAATAACGCAAATGAATCTTCCGGTCAGCAGAACCATCAAACGCAGTGCATTGATTGGATGGACAGCAATTACCACTGATTTTTTCGCGCCTTTATTAATTGCAAGCCGCTGGCAAGCCTCCCCCCGTGTTCTTCTTCTGCGTCAAAAAGCAGCCAGCCGCTGAGCAATTAATCAATTTGGTCTCTCAATTATCGAGCCAAAAGCTGCGAAATCAGAGTAAGACAAACATTGCGAGTTCAACCATCCCAAAGGCCTGCCTAGTTGACCGAACAGTTAATTAAATCGACCGCCACTGCCACCGTTTAAGCCTTAAAGACTCCAACTTTAAAGCTCCTCGGAACATTCTCCAGTGGAAGAAGGGCTCCGTATCGGAGCCGATTAAAATGCCATCAATTTGAAAATGGATAGCTTGCGAAACGGTTTTTCATCTCCAGAGCCATCCTGTCAGCTGTGGCAATGTGCGATGCGACAACTTAGGCGCCTCCTTCGTGTTGCATTTTGCCAGCTGGCGCGTTGTTGCCATATTTCACGCTCCCGCCGCCCCGCCGCCCCGTCGCCAGTTGGAATTTTCCATTTCGTCTCATTCTGTATGCACTCAACGCATTATGTGGCGACATGTGTTCCTCTAAAGACAGAGACAGGGAAATGCCCCAAAAATGGAATGCCTTGGGGGAGGAACGAGTCCTGGATGTGGATGGGAATGAAGATGAGGCCGGCGTTGAGGTTGGGATGAGGTAAGGGATGAGCCGCAGCCAGCTGTTAGTGGGGTGTTAATAGAACCCAACAGGCAGTGAGCTGCATTCTAATGCATCACTGGTCCGAACATGACCCAAGTCAGCTAACCATCTTCATGGCTCCACGCATTAATCAAATGTTAATCCCCGGCAGCGACAGTTTTTTTCCAGAGTCCCGAAAACGGAAGCCGAACAACAGGGCCTGATGAAGTCGAGTTTTGAAAACAAGGGAACCACCACTGGAAGCCTCCAATTAGCCAATTTTGCCATTTTCCTTGGCTTTCGATTTGCGCATATTTTCTGCTAATTAAGGGGCGTCGTCATGCCAACTGCAGGCATCTCTCCCTGGTTTTCCCCCATCATCAGGTGGTCACAATCAGTGAAACGAAATATTCCTCGACATCAACACCGCTGGCTTAACACTAGGACGGGTGAAACTGGCAAGCCCCATTCACAAATTTAACCAGAAACTAGCGGAGTTTTAGATTTCCAAATATGAAGTACTCGGATACGAAATGAAATTAAAGAAATTCCGATAAACCCAACTTTTTCCGGACAAATTTGTTGCCAATATGAACAGAAAAGGAGTGGAAAAATCACTCCGATCTGACGCTTCTTCAAAGGCACATGTGCTTACGTAGCTAGACACTGTTTCATCCTTTTTCTACTAAAATTGATATAAATGTTTTGTTATAAACAAATTGAATTTCTGGTGAGAGCAGCAATAATCTTTAACTGCGTTTCAAACCTGTGCGTTGGGATCCTTAGGAGGTATGCAAATTGAATGAGAGCCTTTCGTATCCCCTGCCCTCTGAATAGTGCAATTACCCCCAAAGACCTTTCTCGTCGCTTGTAATTTATTTATTAAACACTTTCAGAGTAGAGGGCAACAATTTGAGAGGCCCCGGGGAGAGTCACGTAGTAAATGCATAAAAAATCGGCAACCGAAAGAAGTAAAGTCGGGTCCCCATGCATTTATGCAAACTGTGAGACATTGTTGCGAGACCTTCCCCCGGAATTAAGCTGGGGCTGCGTGTCACACTAATTTGACCCAAAAGGTCCCGGCCAGCACGAACCTCATAAAAAACATTCGGGCAACTGCGGGATCAGCAGAGATGGTCCTGACTGCCGCCCTACATAATTCACGAGGCGCAAAACTAAGCTAAGACCGAAGACATGGGAAGAGTCCGTCACACTTGTTGGAAGCTAAAAAACTAATTGCACAAGCAGCCAAATTAAGTCAATCCAGTGGGACACCAAAACTCATCCGAAGGACCGCAAACTGGCGTCAGACATATCAGTCACTAATTAAAATAAAATTTGATTTCGTCGCAAGATTTCTCACTTCTTCGGCGCACCTCCATCTGCGGTCTCCACCTAGAATGCGCATCCACCGCAGCCTGGATGATTATTTATTTTGCTTCCGGCTTCCAGGCTTTGTATAACCGCAATTTCGGTTGGCATCGATGCACTGGAGCATCCGTATCTATCTGCACGGCTTCCCAAGACAATACCACAGCTATGAGCTCTTTGATTGCTGTTACGGCATTTGTAACTGGCATTGTAGCCAGAGAAATGAAAATTGCGTTTTCGAAAATCCCCACATAAAATGGTTTGAAAATATTCCTTTTGCGCTGGCAGGTGAAGCTGCTGCACTTTTTAAGACCCTTAGGTATCGGTGGAAAGTACCTATATTCTTGAGCAGCATTAACAGCCGATTTGACCATGTCCACATATACTTTACATAGACATTCTAGAGATTCCTGCGCAGAGCAACGCAGATGCAAAAATATAAGGGACAGGCTCACTGTTTCTTTAAACTATTCGGCTAATCCCGAACTGCCTGCGAATATCCTATTCGATTGGCCAGCAAACATATAATCCATTCCATCACCAAATAAGTGTGTAACTGCAAGATGCGGGTTCTTACAGTGAGAAATACATGTGCTAAACATCTAAGCTCAACGCAAAATCTAACAGCAGTTTCCTGTTAATAAGCTTTCTGGGGAAAATATTTATGCAGCACGACCTACCAATTGATCCACTATTCAAAAACAGAAGGCGAAGGTTAGGAAAGTAAAGTTCGATGTCGAAGAACGGCAATGAAATGAGATCTGGCTTGATGATGAGTGTATCCAGCTTTCTGATGAAAACGAATGTCTAGTTGACATAAAAGGTTTCATATTTTCTAAATAAATGTTCGTTCGGCTAAGCCGTCAAGTAAGTACTACCCTGTGGAACAGTCCTGCTTTGAATCTCCTATTTGCATCAACTTGCAGCATCTAAATTGTGTTGTTCCGAATGTTCCGAAACAGACAAATGTTCCGAAACAGACAAACCATTTAACTCGACAACGAGCCGACGACCAGGCTCCGACCCCTCAGCTGCAACCGCAAAGCTGCGTCCGTCGCTCGCAAGTTGCAACTAACAAGGGTGCCAATCCCGACCCCACCTAGCCCTGACCCCAGCTCACCACAGTTAATTTGTTGTACCAGCCCGCACACAAATAAAGCAGCCAACAAGCAAACTGGAGGAACGAATCGTTTGCTTTGAGCCAACATGCTACATGCAACACTTTATCCACTGGATGACTGTTTTCAAATTTACAGCATGTCAACAGGCGAGCGCTCGCAAGCACCCAAAGTTTCTGGGGTCCAGTTGGGACCAGTGTCCCACATGGCATTAACCATATGGATGCAGCGAGGACACTTCAGTTGGCTTATAAATTGTGTAAATGTGTATTGCGCATACGTACTGTTGCGCCTGCCTTCGCATCTCCAAAAGTGCCTTTCCTTGTGTTTGCTGCGGGACCAAATCTCTATTCTGATGCCAACGATGATGGAAAACTGCATGTGCCATTGACTCGCAAGAGGAAAGTTCTCTGGGGTACAGTTGCGCTTGCTGTCAATTGCAAACATTTTCCTTTTCAGGGACCTTTTCAACGGCTTGGGCTCATTCTTAGTTAAATAGGAAAGCAAATATAATTAAATATTATTGAGTGATTAGGGAAGATTGTGATGTGTTGCTCTATGAATACTCCCTTACCGCCATAAACCTATCAGTTCTGTGGCGCTTTAAGTCGCCATTGTTTGTTTACCATTTGGAAAACCATAAACTAAAACATATTTAAAGAGCTATTCATTCTTCATATCAAGAATGTATAATCTTCTTCTTCTGCCAGTTACCAGACTTAAAAGGTCCAACCGCCAGCCACAACCAATTGATAATCAAGTCTTATAACCAAACAACTTTCTTAACAGGGATTGTCTATCGTCACTGCTGTTCCGATGCTCCCACTTAAGCAGTTTTTTAAGCAGTACATAGTTTTGGAGAAGAATGATTAAAATTAGGCCGCAACATTTGCTGTAGTTCCCGAGATCTCGTTAGCGTTGATATTGACCGAGTATATGTATACTTTATAGAGCTGAGAAAGCTTTCTTCGACCCATTCCTCGTGGAGTAAGGATGGTAACAATCGAAGCAAATTTACTTTCTAACTAACATATGGTTAAAATACACAATTGCCAAAATTGCAATCGAATTCACAAACATTTGCAAACTGCATTAGCGAGTAGACCACTAGATGGTTCCTACAGAAAAGAAGATTTATATTTAAAACTAAAATAATTTTAAATTTAATCAGATAGGCCATTTGACTATAAGCAGGCCACGGCCTAATACCACCTCAAATTATTTATTCTTATAGATTGGAAATGAATCGTACTTAAATGTACCCAGTAATTCCGCAGTTGACTTGGTTAAATTGTCATAAATTTGTGGCACTGAGAAAGCTATTTTCTGGCTAAGGCGAGTTCTAAGACTGAGTAAGGTTCAGACTGCAAGCTAGAACCGAAATATTGGAAAATATTCAAATTATCTTTGCAACAGAATTTGAAATCAGCTCACGTATTTTTGCAAACACCTGTATTAAACAATGGACATAAAATCAGGGCTAAATAAAAACAAAGGGAAGAAGGACAGATTGGGGAATTTCCGAAGGCAACATTTTTCTGCCAGCTTCACCGCCGTAAGAGAGTTCGCCGCACGGCAAACACGTTCCGGAGTGATGTTGAAACTGTTAGTCGGTTACTCGGTAGTCGGTTGGGTGGCCCCTTTTTCGCACAGTTGAGCTCACATTTTATGGTCAAGTTGCATTCGGTTTCATTTATATTTCATGTGAGGTTTTATTCTTCGGTCTCTCCCTCTGGCCAAGACAATTTCACATTTTACTTTTCCCATTAATGTCAATTTAAATGTTCCAACGCTTTGTTCTTCCAGGGAATCGCCAAGGGTGTTCCCTGCGTCGTCCGACTGAGATACTGTTTGCACAAAAGCACTTAAAGACTGCACTACTCCTCCTAGATAATCGCTCGGAAAATAGTTGAATTCCCTCTTCCGCCCGAGTCCAGTTCCGCAGTCATTTGTGGCAATTTGCGTGCTCATTGTTAATTTGATTTCCAGTTTTCGATAAGCGAAAAACACCTCGACAGCTCCGGGGCCCCTGCTATTAGGTTTGGGCGTGGCTGGGCGCATAATTGAACGATAAATTAAATAAAGGCAATGGTACGACCGAAAAGCAAAGTGCATTCAAACGTTAGGGACTCTTCGCCTTTTCGGGCCTCTACACCAATTGAACTGTAAACGTGAACTCTTCCTTCAGCTAAAGAAGCAGCAAAACGGTGCATTAATGGCAATGTTAGGGCCTATCAAATAACTTAAAACAAAGTGTTTTCAAGCTGCCTGTTTCTATATTTAAAGTCATCCCTAATGCTGTTTCCAATTTGCCGTATCTATTCGACTTCCTGCTCCTTTGACGAGGGGCTGTGGATGCTGAAGGTAAATGAGTTTGAGCTGTACATCTCGCATGAGTTTATGGCTTATTAAAAACTTTCAAAATGTCCACTTTGCAAGTACCTACTAAATTTACGGCAATTTAATGTGGGAGTAGCTGCTTCCGAAGCACCACCGAACCACCAGTTTCTATGGCCCTGTTCGAACTTTGATGTTTTTGTCGGCTTAGACGTTCACGGTCTGGCGGTCCCTTGCTCAGTTGAGCGGAGCTGAGGAGTGTGAGGAGCGAGTGGAAGGGTCTGGGGCAAGGCAGCAGTTGTGGCATGCTGTGAGCTAGCTTTCTCAAATGGTCACCCAAATTAAATGTAAAGCAGCAGCGACTAGCACGGCACGCCGAAGCGAGGCAGTTGAAATGAGTGACTTACCAGTGGTGAAGAGCAGTACGTAGAACGTAGTACCCCCAGAGTAGAGAGCATCGCTCAAGCCAATGTCTGACCTCAGCTATGAATACCCTTAGCCAGAGATCGCCCTATAGTCAGATCGGGATGGGGGCCGCCGCCGGCTTCCTCACCGGCTTTGTGCTCCTCAAGGCGAGTAAGATGGTGGCCGTGGCCGCAGGAGGGACGATCCTGGTGACCGAGCTGGCGTTGCAGGCAGGCTTCGTCCGACTGGATATTCTCAAGATAGTGTTGCAGCCGGAGGAGGATCGGACTCGGGGCCAATTGCAAGTCACCAGTGGAGCGCATTTGGAGAGGACCAATCTCTCCCGCGTTCAGGAACTGGGGGATAAGGCCAGGAAGGCGTGCGCCGCTAGCGGCCGCCTCTGTGTGGCCTTTTTGGGCGGCTTTCTGCTTGGTTTTGGCTGGGCTTAACTAATGCAAATTACCAAAGCTACAGAGCTACATGTAATATATTTAAATTGCGAACCAAAGTTCCACCTGTAATGCTCTCGGGCAGCATTTTTATTTCGGGTTTAGGGAGGTGGCGCGCAGGGAAAGTTTCCATAACAAAAGCCTTGAAAATTTCATAGAAATGCTCTTAACAAATAGCCGAGCCTCTCTTCACCGCACACATACTCAAACGTGTTCAAAGTTCGTGCCCCCATAAAAAGCGTCCCAGCAAAAACTTCAAACTTGTAACAACATTTTCATGCGCTTTTAAGCATTTCAATTTTCACCCCGCGGAGGGTGAAAATTTATGCATAAGCAAAGTTTTTCATAACCAAGGCAATAGCTGAGCTCCGTGGGCGTGGGTTAGGGGTTGGTCTGTGTCAGATTTCATATGCATGGCCCGGACTGGGACTAGGAAAATATGTGATTAGCCAGTGAGACTCGAGTGGAGAATGTGGAAAACAAATAAAAAAGTCTACATTTCCACCGGGTTTATATAAGAATGCCCCACTGTAAGTCAATTAAAGTCGTTCATTGCATAAGGATCGAGCGAGAATAAAATGTGAACCTGACCCGAATTCCATTGAATTGAATAACCATTTGACATGTGACCGAGATATTCTCTCTCGAGCTTTTCCTTTATCTCCTGCTGGAGGAAAAACGGTATCGACTGCTGCAAGCGAGCCAGAAATAAATATGCCACACTGGTCAGGATCTTCCCCAACAATGGAAATCAATTTAAATCGAACCAGAACCTCGACCACTCACTAACAAACCAGCCACACGCATCACGTACTACTACGGAACACATGTCGTATGAGCAATGAAATTTGCATCTGCAAAAGCCAAAAATTGTTTTCTTTTGCGACCAGCCCCGAACGCACTTTAAAGTCCCCCATCGCCAACAAGTTTAATTTGATAGTTTAATTATTCAAATACCGATAGCCCGACAATAGATAATCCCATTCAGCAGTGGCCAGGATTAATTGAGAGAGAGAGCTCGTTGCAGAGTCCAAAGATAAATGAAGTTTAAAGTTTGGCCTGTGATTAGCATGGGAATCAGCAGAGTCCGGCAAAAAGTGGAAGTCGCGTCGAAGGTCGGTCTGTAGGTGAGTGCGGCTGGGAGAGGAGGACCGCAGGCGGTTGTGGGTTCAATTAATTAAAGGTGATAATTGGGTGGCTATTTGGCAAAGAGACTTAAACTTTGGGAGAGCAAAAAGCTGAGCTTGCGAGTCGGTGTGTGGTAGTGTGGGGGTTTCGCTATCACCTCTCTCAACATTACCAGAAGACTCGCTTATATGAATATATCTCTAGCTGCATTCGGTTTAAGCAAATAAACTTAATTCCTAGAAGATATAGTCTATAAGAATCTTGCTTGCTTACTCGCAACTTCCGGCAATGGCTGATGATGCTTATTTGGAATAAACACAAGCAATAGATTCCATAAAATTGCTGGAACATAATTAAATAAGGTAACAATGGAGCTTACACTTCAGCCAGCCAATGATGGGCTCCATTAATGATTCCATTGTGCCGATAAATATGGTTAAATATTCATTAAAAAGCTTGGAAAAACATTTACTTACGCAGAAACCACATAATCCGTAGGCTCTCACAGTTCCACATGCAAGCTTGAACATACACAACAGAAAATCAAATTTCAATAGCCCAAACAACAAATGGCCTGTAATTGTTTGCCATCAAAGCAAACCAAACCGAACCAACCCAACCCGAAGCTCCGAGTCGGAGCCAAATGTGTGTAATTGCGAAATATGTCTAACAATTTGACCAAAACTGAATTTGCACAAAACCACAAATAGGCAAATTGAAAATAGCTGGTCGGGCGGTGGGAATTATTAAATTGGAAATTAAATGCATTTTCGTGCAATAATTCGGCAATAGAATCGGACTTGTGTGAATTCATAATTACTCGAAAGGCGCCCCGCTTCGAGCTGCCTGCCAATAACTCGATTAAAACTTAAACAGTTCAAACTTCGGACTGAAAACGGTGGGCCAGTGCGGGGCAGGGGGTTCCCCAGGTGCAACTTCAAAGCTCCTGCACAGGCTGCTCATTAAATTCTCATGCTTGCCTGCAGTCCAAGGTAAAATACGAGCGGCGGCTCTGCAGCTTCAATCGTCTCGCACAATGCCCCAATGCTCCACGATTTCCCTTGCAACGACTTCTTTCTTCCGACCTCAGCCTCTTCATTTGCTGCCGACGCCTTTGTTGTTCCCATAAAGGCGGAAAAACGTGGCAAAATAGTGGGAAAAGCCTTTCTATCTTCGGGGCTGGCCTCTGCCGCAGGGAAGGTGAAAAACAGAGAACTTTTATGGGGAAAACTGCACAGTCTAAGGTACTAAACAATGCAGGACACATTTGTACTCGAACCCAAGTGTCAGAGTAATTGATTCGATTTTTATCGCTGTGTAGTAATTAAAAGAACATTGCTACTGCAAAAACTGAGCTCTCACTAGGTGAAAACAGATTGATTACTTGGGCTGAATTGGATGATTTTACTGCGACACAACTTTCTAACAAATGGAAAACTAAAACGGGGCGAAACAGTTTCCATGACGACAAATGTCAAAATGTTATTGTGAAACGCTCGATGGATGTGCACTTGGGCGGATCAATTTAATTATGTGATTAAAATAGCAAATAGGCACCGCCAATGCTTCCAACTTGGCCACCATTTCCAGCTCGTAAGCTTTAAAGTGCCTTTAAGGCGCTGCTACCGGCGCTGGTGCCGGTTGTCAGTGAGCTTGCGAGAGAGGCAGACACCGGCGGATGTAATTTCCAGCTCAAGTTGCCGTGACTTGGCCGTGTCCAAGTCAATGCCGGGAAGGACCTTCAATAAATTTAGACCGGTAGGCGTGGATGGACTGCTATCCGGCTCTTCCATCGCGATGCATCGGCCAGCTGTAGGTCGGGCTGTCCGTCTGTCTGGCTGGCAATACGTGCAAATAGTAACGTGAAATTATTTCCGGAATCGGTAACTAATATCGAGTTCCCTTGGCAGACTCGTAGTGAAGTTCCGCGAACTTCGCAGCCAGCTTATCTTAGAAGTCAAAGAAAAAGGCCGAACTGATTAAGGGTTTTGTTGAAGTTTGCCAAGACGCACACGAACTCTCGGAAGAATGCACTTTTGTGCTGAGAACCCTTTCTCCCAATCGCGGCAGACTCCTCTGGCGTCGTATATTTCCACTGCAGACGGCTCAAACTGTCGCCATAAATGTTAATTAAATTAAAACGCTAATAGGCGTGAAATATGATAACACACAGATACGGAAACATGCAGACACCAGCGAGCTCCCGAGAGGAGGCCGTGCCGGCAGGTGGCAGAGTCGGGCGAAAGGCAGAGCCAGCGCTGTAACAGCTGCCGCAAAGCCTCCTGCCTCGCCCCCTGTCGCCTGGGGGCGTGTGGCAATTGCCAAAGTTGCCGCTCACTTGATTTCCAGAATAATACTCGCAATAATTAAAATGAAAATTAGAAATGGGCCAAAGGCATCGGGCCCTGCTGCCAGTCGAAGCATCTGCCAAAGGGAAAGCAAACAGAGAGATAGAGATGGATAGTAGGAGGGCCGAGTTGGGCCAAGAAAAATGGGGAGGCAAGAGGAGGAGGAAGAGTGACTGGAGCTGCCGTTACCACTTGGCTGCCTCCTTGGGCTCGAAAAATTTGCCTTTTGGTGGCGCCTAATTAAAAGGGATAAGTGCCAGGGCAGGTGTGAACCTGAAGCGGCCTGGCGATGAGGCAAGGTGGGCGGAGAGGCGCAATTACTAATTGCTGTGATTATAAGGGTCGGATGGCACATTCTGAAATCTTGTGGGCGGCTTTGAACATTAGAGGGGACCATTCCTGTGTTTTCTTATCAGTTCGTTTTTAAAAAATTAATGTTATATTGAAATGCTGAATTAGTGTAACAGTTCTTGACTTAAAGTTAGTTCTCTCTCAGAGAGTTATTAAATTAGGGTCAGACGTTCGGAAAATATGTTGTCAAAAGCAGTCTTCGAATACATGTGCTCTCAAGGTAAGGGGATATGAAACTGAGAGGTGAGCTAATACCACCAAGCCAAACCAAGGTGCCTTAAAACTTTTCGATCGACCCTCACAAGAGCTTATAAACTATTGCTCGACGGTCTCAATCGCAGCCCACAAACACCGAAGTAAGCCCACTGACTGGACTCCATCAAAAGCCATGCCCTGTGGGCAACTCTTCCCCTTTCTCCGTTCCCCTTTCTTCGTTCACCTTTCCACTGACCGCTTGCTTATGTGTCCGTGTCTGCTTAAGTGCTATTGACAGTCCCGGCCGCAATGACAGGTGACAAAGGGGTGGGTGGGAAAGCCGCTTAGGTCGGGGGACGTTTCCACGCCGCCCCATCTGGGGCTTTCTAATTTGAGTGTCGCTGTCAAGGTTCACGCGTGCATTGTCACAGATTTGTTGCTGCCCCAAACCGCCCGCCATTAAGATGATGAAATGTCCCTGAAGGTCACTAGGCAACCGCCGACCCCAATCACTTGTTGCCTATTAACCATTATTAATATTACACTCTGCGGCGGCGTCCTTTGTGAGTTTGTGCGTGGCTTGCTTTGGGCGAGTTTACACTAGCCAAAATGAGTTAAGTCATCCCACCCGGCTGGGGCTCAACCAGAGCGTAGGCTTCTCCCGTCTAGCTGGGCTTCTCTTGATAATGCTTAATTTGCTGTTTAATTATGCGTAGAGCATTCTTTGTGGGCGGCCCGATGTCCCTTCTAATTACAGCTGTTTGTTATCTGCCAGGGAACACTTTCTGGGCCGTTCTGGTCCTGTTTAAAGCGGCTTAGTCTACCCATTTCCTCAGGTTCACACATAATTTTCCACTTCCCTTCGGTTTCACATATATGTACACAGGAGAATGACAGTTTTCCAGAGGCAGCGGCAACAACTTAATTTGGGTTACATTCCTCTCTCGCCCAGAGCCAAGAGGTTCGGGAAGGGGCATACAAATGGACAAGCTGCGTGCGAATGTTACTGCTCTGACATCGAGACACGCTCGAAAAAC